GCCAGCTTACATCACCCGACCCCGGTTTTGCCGCTGATTCCGAATACGATCTTGCTTTTATGAAAAATTTAAATTTTACTGGAGAAAATGGCGAATTTACGAGCCCGACTTTGAGCAGAAATGTTAAATTTTTATACAAATGAAATTTCTCAGTCATGGAGAAGAATTTTATAAAACATTTAACAACGGTTCGAATGGCATAAGAAATTTGGCTTCGTCTCTTAACGTACAAAACTAGACAGGTTTACAAAATTGGCTACCGCTTTTTAAGACCTACTTGAATGTAAATGTTTATATTGACCGCGTTGTATTTGACCAAGCTTCAAACAGAGCTGTGCAGATCAAGTCGAAAATGGGCCAAGTCCAAGTTAAGTCTAATTTGACTTGAACTTGAAAATTTTTTTATTACTATGACTTGACTTCAGACTTAAACAAGGTCTGATTTGACCACCTCTGGTTCTAAACAGCATTTCTATATCCACTTTCATACACTGAATAAGAAAAAGTTAGTTGGAGTCTTTGAAAGTGAAAGGAGAAAAAAAGGTTTCAGCATTTTCATAATGCATCGTTTTTACGATTATTACCTTTCGCTTTACCATTTGCATGTCCTTCCAATAACGTAATTAAATCATTTAATTTTGAATTTGCGGCTGGATTCGACGAATATTCTGTTAGAATTTTGTTTAATGTTTCTTTACAATAATTATACACCAATGTTTCAACAGGATACGGATTTTTGTTTCGTTTATAATAAATATCAATTTGTTTATTTATTTCATTTAATACCATATCAAATGGTAAATCGTAGAATGCCAAAAACTTTTTTGATAAACAAATTAAATACTCACAAATACTCACAGATGATACTTGTCCAAGTTTTTGTGCATATTCTTCTAAAATGACTAATTGTTGAATGTAACTCGATGTGCCCATTTCGTGAGATGCTAAACATTCGTTATGTTCTAATATATCTGCAATTACTGTCAATAAATCTTTCATCAGTTTAATGTAATCGTAAAAATATCGATTATATTGTGTTTTTCTGACAAATTCAAATGAATCATTTGATGGTCGAGGTATCAATGAATCTACTTCTTGAATATTTTCTAAATTTTGCACTATTGAAATCGTACAACATGCTAACTTGCTGCAAATACTGACTAGATTATCTAGAACTGGATGTTTCTTTTCACTTGAATCTTTAGAGCCAATTGTTGCTGTTAATCCAATAACAATTGGTTTTGTTGAATTTTCGAAATTTTGCAGACTTGGACATAGATAATATTTCATAATTTCACAATATGGATTTCCACCCGATGTATTGTGACATTCATCAAAAATCATCATATCAATATCAGATAATTTCATATGACCATTTTTCAAGCTATTTACAAGTTTTTGAGGTGTTAAAACAATAATATCATTATGAACAACACAATTGTGAACGACTTGTTCATCTTCACATATTTCTACACGTAAATTAGTTGCTTGTTTTAGAACAGTGGCTTGTTGTTGACGTATGGCTTTTCGTGG